TGTGTTCCTTCCATTTTCTTCATGTGTGTTTGTAGGGATATAAATTCCCCTCTTACTATAACTTTTAAGGCATTCCAGAGATTTTGGTAAGATGTTTCTTCATTTTCATTTGTTTCCAGGTATCTTTTGATCTCTGTTTTGATTTCATCATTGACCCAGGAATTGTTTAGCATCATGCTGTTTAGTGTCCATGTCTTTGTGGGTTTTGGGGGGACCTTGTTGGTGTCAATGTTTATTTTTATTCCACTGTGGTCCGAGAAGGTGCATGGTAGAATTTCAGTCCTTTTAAATTTGCTTATGCTTGATTTGTGTCCAATTATGTGATCGATCTTAGAATATGTTCCATGTGGTGATGAGTAGAATGTGTATTCTGTGGTCTTTGGATGGAGTGTTCTGTAGGTATCAATTAAGTCCATTTGGCCCAGAGTCTCACTGAGGTTCCAGATCTCCTTGCTGATTTTTTGTCCTGTCTAGGGTTGTGAGTGGGGTATTAAAGTCCCCAGTTATGATGGTGTTAGAGTCAATGTCTTTCTTTAGTTTTCCTAGAAGTTGCTTTATGAAAGTTGGCGCACCTATGTTGGGTACATATATGTTTAGGATAGATATTTCTTGTTGATGGAGTGATCCTTTTATCATTATGTAGTGGCCCTCTGTATCTTTTTTAATTTTTGATAGCTTAAATGGTATTTTGTTGAAATAGGATCGCAACTCTTCCTTTCTTTTGTGTTCCATTCACCTGAAAATTTGGCTCCCATTCTCTTACTTTGAGTCTGTGTATGTCCCTTCTAGTGAGATGGGTCTCTTGAAGGCAGTATATTGTTGCCTGGTGGTATTTTATCCATTTTGCCATTCTATGTCTTTTCAGTGGTGCGTTTAGTCCATTCACACTCAGGGTAATTATTGAAATGTGAGAGTTTGTCCCTATCATAGAGTTCTTATTGAGTTGTTATTCTTCCTCTTGGTTTTTTCTTTTCTTTTCTTTTCTTTTTTTTTTTGTCTTTCTTTTGGTTTTGGGGTTGGTTCATGTATATTTTATTCTTTTCCCTGTACTCTTGTAAAGAATATTGTTCTTTTTTCCTTTTCTTCTGTGTTTAGTACTTTCTTAAGTGTTTCATGTAGAGATGGTTTGGTGGCAGCATAAGTTCTTAGGGATTGGATATCTGGGAAAGATTTTAATTCTCCCTCACTGATGAAGCTTAGCTTGGCCGGGTAGGTTATTCTTGGTTGAAATTGTTTATCTTTTAGGACTTTGAAGACAGGGCTCCAAGCTCTCCTAGCCTGCAGGGTTTCTGTAGATAAATCTGCTGTTATTCTGATTGGTCTTCCATGGTATGTGATCTGGCCTTTTTCTCTGGCTGCCTTTAGGATTTTTTTTCTTTTATGCCTACTTTGCTTAGACGAATTATTATGTGTCTAGGAGTTGGTCTTCTCATGTGTTGTCTTGCAGGGGTTCTCTGAATCTCTTGTGTTTGAATTTTTGCATCACTGATTAGATAAGGGAAGTTTTCTTGAATGATCTCATGGAAAGTTTGTTCCAATGTGGTCCCTGTCTCTCTTTCTGCCTCAGGGAGTCCGATTACTCTTAGGTTAGGCCTCTTGAGGTAATCGCTCATCTCTTGAAGGTTTTGTTTTGTCTTTTTGAGCTTATTTTCTGTGTTTTTAAGAGTTTGGTTTATTTCTATATTTTGGTCCTTAAGCCCTGAGATTCTTTCTTCTGCTTGGGTAATTCTGCTTTCATGCTTATCAGTTTGTTATTTATTTCATTCACAGTATTTTTTATTACTGTTATCTCAGATATCAGCTCCTTCCTAGTTTCTTCTTGTGTCTCCTCAATTCTTTTTAATCTCTCCATTATTGTCTTGATGTCTATGTTTGTAGTTTGAGATCTTCATTCTGGGGGCTTTTCATTGTTTGCATTCCAAAGTCAGTTTTCTCAGTGTCTGCCCTCCCAGGGGTCTGGGAGAGACCCATACTCTTCTTTTGGTTTTTCTTCATTTCTGTAGATTTTTCTCTCTCTCCCCCTTCCCTCCCCTTCTTCAATTCTGTTTTTGAGGGAAGATGGGGTTGCTTTTATTTCTCTTCTGTAATGTCCTGTTCTTCCTTATGAGGGTCTTCTGGCTTTGTTCACTTTCCAGGTTGGAGCATAGGCTGCAATCTGTACTTTTTGCAGTTTTGAGGTTTAATTG